TTACTCTTAACTGCTTGATGTTTTCAGTCTGTGTGCAGTAGCCTTAAACTCTGACGTATCGCACTTCCCACCAATAGCAGCCCTCTAGTCCAGCTGATAAGTAACATTCCCCCTGCACCCACCAGGGCTTTTCTCCTGGTCTGTGGACAGTAATTGAAGAAGAATTACAGGATGTAGACTGTCTTCTGACGTCTAAACACACATCTTAGAAAGGCGAAGTATGCAGAAGATCTACAATAACCCCCCAAGCGCCTACATGGCGAATAGTGAGACACCTTTGCCTCATTATCAATATACAGGGTGGCACACGAAATGATGCCCTATTTGTAAGACGAAAATGAGATGCGGCAGCATATGGACAGGATGTAAGATGCGAATGAAAGGAGGCTCCGACTCGAAATATGGAACGCAGTGTTGAACTGGTTGCCAAGAACCCTAGGGGCTGATTTTTTGAACAGCTGCCTCTCAGTCATTTCTCCTTCCGCACACAAATTAAAATCTGCGGATACTTGAATCCGCGTTTGGCGCGTTCCATGGTTTCAGGTTTCGTGAATTATGTCATCTGTCGAATTCCGTCGTTTCGGCTAACACTGCAAACAGCAGCCGCTCGTTAGACGTTTAGCCCTCCTACATTTTGATCCTACATAACCTAAGAAGATATCAAAAGGGAGTTTCGTAAAATAATAACAACCAAAAGGTATCGATGTTGATATTTTGTGTTGTAACACCTTTTAGACTTTTAGGTAGACACCAACGTTTCGGAGAAACATACTGCCACCATCTTCAGGGATCGATCCTTTACTGTGTAGCGTATTCATACATCCGACTTTGTGACTAAGAATCACAGTGGCATTGGAGTTTAATATAACGTACGGGTTATCTATTTGTGCTTTATTTAACGATAGCATACACGTCGAATGATTTAGCGATTAATGAATTGTAAATGATACTAAACTAAAATACCGTGGCCTAATTTAAATTAGTAATGCCATTGCATGGAAAGACTGAGGAAAATAGCAGGAACCATTCGGGCTCAACTCGGTTTTCTGTACAATTCTGTTCTACTTGACACTTGTCATATTGACACTGCCAGCCGTCCTTCTGCCAACTTGACATCTCCTGTTGTCTGTATAAGCCTACTCCGATTTATCGCATTCGCTCGTACGGTCGGAGTTTGGTACAAGCGGACGGAAACGAACGCATACGTTCAGGAACTATAAAATACGACATATTCGATGTACGGATGACTGAAATGCTGAAGGTCTCGCTTTGTATTCAGAACATGCATGGCACGGACATAACAAAAACTGACGATGAGGCACAGTAAGTGCCTATGAGCGCCATTTTCCTGCTCCAAACTCATAGCATTTTAACTAGTGTGGGCCGACGTGTGATTGCGATTTTCTCGTGGCACTTAGCGTTCCTCGTCTGTTCATTTCCGCTCCACACACACACACACACATCCGGAATTTAATCATTCAACAACAAAGTTTTTCTTTGGATTAATATTAACCAATGCCTGACAGTGAGAACCGAGGTTTTCAAGGCTTTAAGGAAGATAATGTTATTCTGGGTTTTGGCTCCGTGTAGATGACGGTATTTCGGAGAAACATGTTGTCTCCGTCTTCAGGGTTCGTGGAGAGAGAAGCGTACTGAGTACGATAGGAGTTGTGCAACCCGAAATTGTCTCATTTGTTTCCAGCGGATTGCAGGAGCCGGTACGAAGAGTTCTCTGGCGAATTTATGAATTACGGTTTCCTTGAAATGATTTCGTGAGTCAATATGGTGTCCACTTCTCTTGAACGCCGAAGCTGGTAAAAAATTATAAATTAATAATTATATCACACAGAGACAGGCCCAGAGATGTGCATGTACGATTTCATGCAACTGTGATGCAGAGTAAAATGTCACGGAAAACTTGGCATTTACCAATTACTGGTGAGATTTCAGGGGCTTTCAAGCACAAAACATTACTGTCTTGTGGAATGTTGCGCCGCGTAAACTCGTAGAAATTGGCTGACGTTTCAGAGGTCTTTATTGCCGTAATTATCGCCCTGACGATGGAGGCACTATACACAAAGCGTCCAATTGGTATGACAGTTCCATGAACTGAAGGTGTGGCTGAAAATCATTTACGATCATGAAGTATTTACGACAGACTTCACCTACTTAATCGCTTATCCGAAGGCGTGGTCTCTGTAACACGAAGGGCTGTCGGTCTGGCCCAAGGACGTAGATCTGCTACTAAAACAAACCCTAGACTGATCTATCGCGCGATGCGAATTCCTTCAGGAGCTGATGGTCGCTCAGCTGAATGGGAAATTCTCAACTGTCATGAAACACGAGAATTTATCGAATTATTGTGTTCACAATTAGATCCTATCCTACCCAGGTCAGTCCGAAACCTCACCGTAGCTCTCCGTGATCAGTTTTAATATTATCCCGCTAATCTACGTCCGTATTGGTTTCTTATTTTGGGGTTTCCCATCATTTGTACCACATGCCACACCCATGTAAGCCTTCTTAACTTAACCAACCTCGTATTATCATAAGCACAGATTTCAACTTCGTCATAATACGATTTTCTCGAGCCATTTGTTACTTCGTATTGCCCAAGTTCAGAGTCTGAGGATCTGAAGTGCTTCAGTTAGCTCTGAAACACTGAGTTTCTGATTAAAAATCCAAAACAGCTGAGCGCTTGCAAGGAGCGTGACGTAAGATGACCAGCCGTCCCATAAAATCGATTCTAAGTTTGGGGTAACTTTCCATCATCCGGACACAACAAAATGCTTCATTACGGCCAGGCATCAAGAACGGTTATATCGTTTGATAGCTATCGACATGGTAGATCGATCCTGTTTATGGCAACTGAGTACTGTGCAGAATGATCCAAAAATATAGAAAAAAACAAAAACAAATGAATTCAACCGAACTTTCGTTTACGATGTTAACAGACTTGACATAATTTAAAGTGTTATAACAGCTCTGAACTACAATTCGTTCCATATATCGGCCTTCAGTGACACCCACTGCTTTCGGGTGTGTAAATAAAGAATTTAAATTTCTTTGAGTCCAGTTACCCCTTTTTTTTCCGACAACTCTGCTTTTGGCCATAATCGCCTTTAAGTTTGGGTCAGTCTGGTCCACTTGTGCTGTTTGAAATATCCCAGTTTCCGTGCATTCATATGAAATAATTAACAGTCACTTACATTAACCTGCAGGCTACTGCAGATTGACTTATGTACACGGAACTAAACTTAAGCTGACTTAATTCAAGTACGCGGTTGTTATAATATCGGTTTTATCTTCCTGACTGTACTACTGTCAAATGTTCATTTATCATCGACTCTACCACGAAGAATCTCCTTTATATTTACCAGTTACAATCGATTATATACGTTTATTCTTGGCCTCTTTTATTATTGATCACGTGACCCTTAAAGTGAGCCACTTCTTTGATTCTACATTTTATTCCATTAACGCTCAAGAGCACGAGTTTGCTGGAATGATGTAAAGGTTCGCATTAAAATATCTGGCTCTGACAATGTTCTACTGGTTTTATGGCCTTGCGCGTGAGGCTAAAAATATTCAGCTCTCAAAAGCCATATGTCAGTTTTCCAGGAAACGCTGACAGACAATGGTTCCCTCAACTGACACCAGAATTACAGAACTGTGGCGTCACATAATGCAGTGAGGAATTTATTTATCGAGACAAAATACGAGGCTTTAATATCCGTAAGCACGTCTTAAGATTGAAACTGGGATATTAAAGAAAGACACTTAAGTACAGAAAGCAACTCTTTAATATCTACTTTTGTAAGAATCGATTATAGAACAGGCCAATATTATGATAAGTTGTTATTAATTCAAGTGGCATGTCTTAAGAGATGAAATGGTAAAAGCTCGTCTGGCCAAACACAGCATGAAAATTTACCAAATCAGGTAATAACTTGTCAGAAATTCGTGCTACACGTAACACTTAGGGATCAGTACAAATTTTTATTTGTATTTCTCCCTTTTCTAGGATTATCCATAAATCTATTTTTCACATGTCCTGTCGACATTTTGGAGTAATTGGCCCCAGTCTGTGATAGGAATGTTAATTTTCGGATAAATTCCAAAAGGCATGGTTCATTGCTAAAGATTTCTCCGTTTGAGACAGGATTTGCTGTATTCTATGCATTTCTTCTTGCTCGGAATATACGACTACTGAATATATCGATCCACTAAGCCGTGTTTTCGTGCATGCTCACAGCTTTGTTGTCATTGCGGTAGGCGCTGAAGCTGTGTCGTGAAGCAGTTGCTCACTAGCAGTGAACGACAATACCACGAAACTATAATCCGGTCGAGAGAAATTCAAACGGTCTGTACATCAAATTAAGTAATTTCTTCCGGCTAATTTCTTTATCGACGGAAGCGCTGTTTAATGACAGAAGGCATAAAATGATTAATTGATGTGTGGCGCCTCTTTGGCTTTCTTCCTGAACTTTTAAAACTTGGATAAACGAAGAAAATATTAGCTCTTATTTTCTGTGAAATACCATGTTTTGTTCATATAATGCTTGATGATGTTTTATTATCGTGATTCTTAAGTCGGTGTGTAATGAAAATTTTGTTGCATTCGTAAAACATTTTCAGAAGATATTACCTGAATTTATGAAATGTAGTCCTAGTCGATTAATATAAATCTGAACACAACGGCAGTTTATGAACAGAACCTGAGTATGTATATATCTGAATACGAAACCCTCGGAAGTGGGATACATTTAAGTATTATAACAAGAAGAAATTTGTTAATTGTGTGACTAGCAGTTGCACAATTTGCCTATGCGGACAATTTTTGTTAAAAAAACATATATTAACTGGTGATGTACAACATTTTTAACATTAGAAAACGTTCTGTGTGAAGGTTTATATAGTACAATTAAATAGGTACAGAAGTTTGCAGGAAGTTGGTACCAATGTGCAGTAGTAAGTCTGTATTCGGAAGACAATGTTAAATATGTTTTATTTACTATAACACATATCACTTGATATTAGAGGCATTTAAGATGATCGTGAAATTTATATTGTTTCAAAACTGCACGAACCGATAAAAATACAATATCCTTAGGGAAGGAACCCATTATTATATTTTGTACTTACCATCATAGCAGCCAGCTAAATGAACCGAAAACAAAAAGGTTATGTTCGCCATAAAGTTTGTTCCGTGAAAGAGTAATATTCTGCAGACACTAGTGTTCCCAGCTTCACAGACAATACAGAATCTTCTCTCTCACTCTGGACTGTCAAAATGTTGTGAACGAAGCACAATTCACGGAAACTATGCTGAAATATTACTGACACCGACTACCATTTCATATTAGGCCTACTTGAAAAACGCGCCGTAAGATGGGATAATGATCGACTTCGTTATTCCGTTGTTTACGCGGTAAATTTATGTGACGTTGCGATAGTTACATTGGCCGAATGGTCTAAACCGAAGGTCAATAAAACGCAGCGAAACGGAAATAAAATTGTCTTTATATGTAAATTTAAAACAAAAATACATTAATGTTACCATAAATGAATATATAAACACACCTAATAAAATATTTGTGTGTTTATTTGACAACTTTAAATCAACTAAGAGGTTATAAATGTCATATTAACGAGAGCATTATTATTATGTACGAAGTATATGGGAAGGATCGGAATACATATTTCAAGATATAAATCAGGTATTAACTCACAACGTCTAGAACCTACGTTTGCTATTATAAACTGTTTTTATTGGACATATGCATATCATAAATAGGATCGAAAGTAAACTCTTCAATTAGTACTGAGTGATTAAATCCAAAAGACTGAGAAGGTAGGACATGGAGAAACAAGACGTGCATACAATATTTATGTAGTAACACATTATGGGGGAAAAATTAGCATGGGAGACTGAAACAGAACTCATAGGATAATATACAAACCGATCTTTGAGATCTTTCAGGTTAGGATTGGGATAAACCATTATGTTCTATAAAAACATGGACAATTTTCAAAAAATTAAATAATTAGTGCCAAGGACTTTTTATGCTTTTTCACTGCACAGTAAAAAGTAACATTAAATCTAGTCCCTTTTTACGTAATTTCTCCAGAGTAATGGATGGCAATTCTCTTTAAAAGCCAATATTCCAGTTCTCTTTATAACATAATCATCTGACATTCAAATTTATAGTCAGCACACTTTATAAATGGGATGATGCCTCAGAACAGTCCAAATTGTCCGACCTAAATGGGATTGGAGGACAGTGAGGTAATCAAAAATGTCAGATAATATGGAAAACTAATGAAAATGATGTGGGTAAATTTAAACTCAGTTTATAACCCAATTCATGATAATATTAAATTATGAAGAAAATACAATACGGCATCAAACGAAAAATAGTCGGCTATCAGCACGTGACAAACGTAAGAGATTTCTGATTACCCACGCACTTCATGCCTACTTTAAAAATTTTCAAAGGAATGTTTTCATGTCTGCAGGATTTCAAGTGCTTACATTTTTAAAACCTCATTGTTATCATAAAATTTTTCTTTTTGTAGGGCCAGGTGATACATCACGACTTAATTCAAAACAAAATGACTTTGAAGCCGCTAATTAGACATTCATCTCGCTGTTTAACTAAGAAAATGGCGTGTTACGTAACACTGTTAATGTTTCTGGGATACTCGCCTTTCATAATATACGACACGTACGTAACATTTGTAGAAATGGAGTTCTATAAGCTTCATATGGAAGACATGGCTTGCAATGCAAATGAGTTTCAGTGCATAATACCAGAATACGATCCAAATGATCCACGTGTTAAAAAATACCTGTCTACGTCGTCAATTATCCGGTGTGGCGAGCCCCAACTCTACCTCACATACCTGGATTCTGATGGCTACATCCATCTTAACAAGACAACCATAAAGAACAGCGGTCACAAAGAAAGTGACTATGAATGTCACTACTCCGAGATTTTCCGTACAAATAAATCAGACAATAAGTTCTCTTTAGGAGTTGCACGGATGTTTAAAGAAACTGAAAAAATCCATTCATCTGCATTTGTTCTAGCAAGGTGCTTCTTAAAGACAGCGAAGTTGGTTTATGAAACTGGACACGCATATGTGCCTCCTCCATCAGCAGAACTTTATAAATCCTCCAGAAGACAGAGTGATGGTGACATTAATCACCCCAGTGTCCTCATATTTGGGCTGGACTCCATGTCACGCCTGAATTTCATCCGTCAGCTTCCAAAAACGTACCATTTTCTTACCGATGTTCTTGGTGCCATAGTTTTTAAAGGTATGACCAAAACTGGTGATAACACTTTCCCAAATATGATGGCACTGTTATCTGGAATTAATGTTCATAAACGGAACAATAAAACCAATTTCCTCTCAGTAGTTAGACCTTCCTACTTTGATGATATTCCTCTGGTATGGGACTCATTCAGAGATAGCGGATATGCTACAATGTATAACGAAGACAGCCCAAGTTTGACAATCTTTAACTTTCACGCTTCAGGTTTCAAAGACCCTCCAACAGATTATTATGTGCGTCCATTTTGGCTTGCTATGAACAGTATCAATAGTTTTAAATCAAAAGACTCGCGATGTTATGGTAATACACCAAAACACTTGTATCTTCTTGATTACATCGAACAGTTTGCAGCAAGGATGAAAAATCATCGATATTTTGCCTTTGCGTTCTTGACACTTCTCAGTCATGATGATCTCAATGAGGTGCAGGTAGCAGACTCAGATTTTGAGAAGATGTTCCTCAAGATGCAACGTGAAGGACAACTCAACAACACCATTGTAATGGTGTTGGGAGACCACGGTAATCGGTTTAGTGGACTGCGAAAGACAGAAATCGGACGGGTGGAGGAGCGCATGCCGTTCCTTGCTGTGTCACTGCCACGAGACTTCAAACGCAGATTCCCGCACCTTGTGGCAGGACTGAAGCAGAACCAGAACAATCTTCTGAGCTGGTGTGTATGAAGTTGAACTACTGCCCTAGAGATCTGCTTTCTGATTTCATACAGGCTGAAAAACAACACGCATAAATAGCAAGATAGAATTTTTATTCAGCACACAGCAAAAACAGTATTTATATCAGATACTGCAATTTTTATTGCCAGATACAATATGATTTATATCACACATACCTAGCAAAATATAAAAAATAAATTAAAAACATTGCACAGTTGACTGCAGAATGTATATAGTAATTCAACAACAGGTAACTAACATATAACATATCCAACACATAAAAAGCTAAAGTGTTTACAGAAACTGTACAAAAGACCAATTGCAAAGTTCCTTTTAGTTCTCAATCATGATATTCTGGGTTGTAACTTAGTGTGATACTGCAGGATGTCAACAAACATTTTGGAGGAATGTTGGTAACTGCGTGGTACCACAACCCAAAGGACCATGATCAACATCTTCACAAGCATAACAACTTCAAAATTTGTTTTACGTCATGCCAAAGAGGTTTAACAATGAATGATAAATATAAAGCAGTTTTACTGTACTATAAATTATGTCTCCCGTTATCTTCTAGAAAGTGATAAACAAAACATTCACACTGCTTCTCTCTGCCACTAAGTAATGACATCTTTCTTCCGCCTTTCATCCTCGACGTTGTGAACCATCTGCTAGAAAGAGAAAGCAAGATACATGTTTTAAATAGCTTTTCTAAATTAGCACACTTTTGGAAAATCTGTCGACACGCAACACATTAGCAAATTACACTGAACATCAATCAGCCCACAAGTTTGCAAGAGAAGAATTAACCTTTAGAGTCCTTGTTAACCACACATTGGTCTCTTAAAATGCAGTCTTTACTTTTGAATGTTGAAAGCTGAGATTCGAGACATACGTTAATATTATTGGGCACTCACAAACATGAAAACACAAACTTTCATTTCCTTATAATATCAATTTAAAAGTCAGGATGACAGCATGCAATGTTAACGGATTTCAAAATTATAACGTGAGCAGTCGCAGGTCTAGACACCATTAAAGGCACTTTTGGTGCATGTGTATTCCTTTCAGTAGTGTGCCTTAAGTGGCCCTAGCACAGATTATTGGATGTGAATATCGTCCAGTCAAATTTGCAGATTTCAGACATTTCCTTCCCTTCCCTTCCCTTCCCTTCTTACACTAAGGCATCAAGCTGTGATATACAGAACTATTTTAACCTGTTGCAGGTTTGACTTCTATGAAATGCTGATGGACTTAGCTCACAACAATCTGGGCAAGAAATCCTTGGTCCAACGTTATGGGACCATCGGCAGTTCACCATTTAGATGGATATCAAAAAATCGAACTTGTGAACAAGCTGGGATACCAGATGAGTATTGTATATGTGCAAGAGAAACACAGCTGAATTCCAATGATGAGAGAGTGAAGACTGCAGCAAGGGATCTGGTGGCTTACATAAATTCTGACCTTCTAGGAGACGCCATCAACCGAGGACTGTGTTCTCCTCTAAACTTAAAGCACATTCTAAGCGCACAGATGTTGGCTCTCGGACCTCAGGTCGCACAACCGAAGGGATTTAGGGTTCTGTACAGGGTGATGGTGCAGGTGATGCCTAGCGATGCACTGCTTGAAGGCACTCTGGAGGTCGATGCTTGGAGCAAACGAGGTAACACAGTGGGAGATGTAAACAGGATAAACAGGTATGGAAATCAATCACATTGCATAACTGACACAATCATGCAACTTTACTGTTATTGTACCGATCTCTTGGGTAAACGTTTTCAAAATGATGCATTACAAGTGACAGAAAACTATTAAATTTAAGCCACATACACTCTGACTCAGGTATAAAAAATAAAGTGATTCTTTCTTAAGTAATTCATATTGTCCAATCTCACTATTGAAATTACAGCAAAATATAGGATCTACATACACATAGCTTTAATTTACTAATTTTATGCCAGTGGTTATTCTTCCAAGGGAATAAGAAGTGAAATATATACTTAATCTTACACCAGGAGACAAAGTGCTGAAATATGTATATATAAAATATTTCTCACGTTTTTGTTGTTAAGAAAATAAATATGATTTAGGAAGGCTGTGACAATGTTTTTTTTTTGTGAATGTTCACAAAATATTACAATTTCTGCCATTAAAACAAATATTTATATTTAAATGATGCCAAAGCATTATAATGTTACACAAAATAGGAGCAATCGCTCACTTCTCATTCAAATGCAGCAGTTAGATTTTGTAAAATGACTATTTTTAATTTCTTTTATTTAATGCAAAAGTAACATAGTTTTATTATTGAGATAGTATAAGTTTTCCATGGCAGTGAAAATGTGAATTGAAGTATTCTGGGCTTGTGATGCCATGTCGTCTGGTAAGCGGGTACCAATGTTTCAGAGGAACACTGGCAACCAACAACAAGAATTCATCGCAACACAACCCAAACAACCACAGTAAATGTTAACTAACCATTTAGATTAGGGATCTCAGATATTTTTATCTAATGAGACAAACAGCAGAATTTTCTACTGCTCCTTAGTTAGATTTTGATGGTATGGAATGCAACTTGTATCATGCAGGAAACTCACGTAATTTTTAGACACAGCCTACGTACACAATATCTGAAGTGCCCTTAGACATTAAACAATAGAAATGGAACAAGTTTACTAAAACTATAAAAGCACAACTAATTTTTCTTTACCCTCCATGTTCAGGAACTAACTTTTAATTATGTCAAATTAAAATCTTGGATATTACCCTGGTTTTATAAAGCTCATAGGTCATATTTCTAAGACAAAATGTATAAAAATATTTAACAGAATTATGTACGGCTTACGCATGCATATGGAACACCTTGTAAGGAGTGATCAAAAAAGTGAAAAATTTGGCAGTTTCACAAATATATTGCTTTCTTATAGGAGGTATAGAGCATAATTGCTACATATAAATTATATCAGCAGTTAGGACGAAAATAATTTCTGCATTAATAGGAGTTCATCTTAGCCAGTCATAATATTTACTAAAAATCAGAAACATGACGGCCAAGCCATACACTGGAATTTACTGACATCTCGCTGTTGTGTACAAAGCAACCCAAAACTATCGTACTTGATGACTTTGGCAATTTTAGACAATAACGCAAATGTGCGAAGAGCTTGAATTTAGCCAGAAGGTTAATTATGATTCCCTCACTATGGAGGAAGAAGGAGAAGAAGAAAAAAAGTAACAATTTACTTATTACTCCTAACATTCTTTTCATATTACACATACGTCACGTGTGAGAAAAACGTAAGTTCCATAACTTTAATTTTCTGTGAAGGAAACTAATAATAACATTGTATTATAGTTGGATCAGCATGAAAGTGTATGATAAAGATAAGTAGCAAATAGTTTTGTTTTTCTATTACTTATAGAACTATTTTTGTGTCTTGCTAATTTTCTGTCCATTCCAAGTTTTCTAGTCGTGGAGTCACCTACATAAGATTTCCGTGTATTATACTCTGAAACAGATAATTTCAAAGTTGTAGGCTTCGAATGGATATTTTCTATGTTCTCAATATGTAATTCTTCCTTTACTGTATATGAAACTATATTTTGTATATTTCATTTTACACTGTTTGTGTCATACTTATTTTGACTTCATAACAAGTGGAAACAAAGTGCATTACGAAAAACACTGATGGTAACATGTATCTCTGTTGAACTTAACAAGGCATCAATCCTTTGATGCTAAAGCTCAGACAAATAATATTTAAACATTCAGTCCTTCCTTCAAAGAAAATGCAACATCTCGCTGTTACAAAGATCAGTTTGCTAATACTGTTTTAATAAAATAATTGGTTTATTCTGAGGATCACATTGAGCCCATAAACAACCTCTGAACAGAATGCAGAATTACTTATTATTAAATCAGGTGGTACACATAGTTACCACTGGCTTTAAAGGATTATTTTAACATACATAAGTACAAGGTCACAGATTAATCACATAACTACAAAATATAAATTTATATAATTTCATATACGGCAATGAATGACAGGGTACAGGGAATTAATGACATTAGCATCATGACCATTTGCAATCTGTTATGCAAGCAGTGTGTCACAAATAGGCGTATTCTTATACACGCATACATCCGTGAAGACCACTTTAGAATTTGTTTGTTACTATCTGATAAACTATGTGCTGTAAGATGAAAATGTACCTTACACAACAAATTCATAAAAATGGTTGTTTTTTAAACTTCCACCTCAAACATTTTTTATTTACACAATAATTACTGAAATACAGCTAAACATGTATTTCAGTTTTCATGAAAAGTAATCTTTTATTTGGAATTTAAACCAAAATTAAATTTCTTTTACAAATTTTAAATCATTACCAAAAATAACCATACTTCACTGAAATCCCTTCAAACAGATCAAAATGACTTTGTTACAGTGAAGACACTGTTGCAAAAAAAAATATCCCTAAAATGGGGGAAGAAATCAAGGTGTTCATTTTCTTTGAAGCAAGGAAAGCTGTAACTTTTAACTACATTTTCACTAACAATAACATTTCCCAAAATGTGTGTAGTGTATATACAATCAGCATGTACTCTCATGGACAGTTTTTCATGTTAAATACCCAAAAAGAAAATCATACTTTAGGTTAAGGAATTAGTACTGCTGTTTGCGTATCAGTGGACAAAGGGATGAGATTCTTCCTCATAAAATAAATTTCTGTGATATCTCCGATTATCCTGGATAATAGAAAACTGATCCAAATTGTTTCGATGAAGATAAAGCTACCAGATTTGCATGTTACAAGTTATTAACATTTTTAATATGTAGTTTCCCATCATAATGAGTGAAATGCACATCATCAGCAAATCAATTCACGTACTCGCAGGATAATTACATTTAGAAATACATATATATGTATGTTATGTGACACTTTTAAGAAATGTGTGCCTTAAATAACTGATGTAATTTCATGTTTAACAAATTCTGCATTATATATTTAGGATAATTGTTCTTATATGTAGTTATCGTAAAAAATTATACTCAATATAACTGCATCCAATAAAATTGAAATAGCTGTCTGCTGATACCTGTTCAGAGTTGAAAGAAGTTTAGATTAAACATTCAAGGACTAGTACAGAGAGAGTCTGAGCATAGAGAACAGCTGCCATAACTAAGTTTCTTTTTGTTTTTCCTAATCTCTCCAGGCAAATGCTGGAGTAGAATCTTATGAAGACCATGACAGCTTCCTTTCACATCCTTTCTAATTAATCTTTCATAAATGTCCTATCACTTGCTCTATAACCTGTGCAGCTGAAGAGTGTTGATATATAACCCAAGAATAAATTTATATATACTCTTAAATATTTTACTTCTGAAAAATCTATAATAAAAATAGATAAGACATTCTAAAACTATGACAACTACATGTTGCATGCAAAATTTTATGTAAAGTGATACAAATTATGTTATAAATTAGTTTAATAGATGTAAAAGGTTGGTAGACCTTGGAGCTTTTGAAGTGACTTTTCTTAATATATATATGATAGATTAAAATATATTTCAGTATATTAAAAACACAGTAATATTGTTTTCATAGCACGTTTAAATGTATTTGTTGACATCTCAATCCACTGCATGGATGCAACTGTTAAAACTGCCATTTTATTTAAAAATTCTGTTCACTAACTTTGGTCCATGTTTTCCCGTTCCTTTTAATTCTGCAAGTGGAATGGAAATTTTAATAGATAAATCATAACATGTCTAGTGAACACACATGTATCATTGTTTATTTGCCAAATGTAACAAAAGGTTCTACAGACTATGGGGACATGAATAATGCATGACAAACGCGTTATAATGCTTTCTGTTGGAAATTATGTGCCTTTTTGGGGCCTTATTTTTGGCTGTTTTAAGTGCCTAAAAGTCACTTTCCTATTTTTAAAGATTCAAGGTCCATTAGCCTAAATATTTCCATATTTGTAAAAATACATATTTATGGAATATTACTATGAATATAAAATGTAACCAAAGATTGTTTTCATTTTAAATGGCTAAGTCATATTCTCAGTATATCGGAAATGTTACTGTGTTTAGATGGCGCTAGAAATGTGCACACAAGTTACACATTTTTGTTGAAAATAAGTGCTATTATAAATATTTGATGAATAAAATGGAAGCTTTATTGCCAACTGTTTATCACTTTTCATCTTGCGTATGAACTCTTATTTATTACCAAAAATTTTACATTTTGTCCACACATTTAACAGTACTTTAGGGGATGAAATATGTGAATGGATTTGAGAAACCATGTTACATTTTGGCCCAAAGAGTGGCCATCCTTACCAAATTTACTTTCTACGCTTCAATTTTAGTATTAAGAAAACAACGAGGCTCGGGATTTATTACTTAAATTTTATTACTTAATAACATACCACATACTTCTGCTTCAAGGCAGATAGCCATACCCTTAGTTCGTTCACATTCAAAGAGCAGGTTTTTCCTTTGTCATACACATCAAGCACATCAAAGGCAGTGAATGCATAAGCAAAGAAACTCAAAAAACGGAGTGGATGGCAACAGGTTGCAAGTTATTGCTATGAAATTCTTCACACTCATTTCAAGAATTGGATCAAGACTAAGATCAGATGCTGATACAGGCTTCCTTGTTGTTTCCTTTGCCTGGGAAACCAATAAAATAAATTACAAAACTATAACAGTGCATCTTCTGTTTTGTGACCTTCCATTTTTTGTGAAAATATATTTTAATCACATATTTAGTCTGACAATAAAATAGAATAAACTATCATATAATATTAGTGAGAGAGTGAGGACAATGATATTTGCTTTCTGATTTTTAGACATTCTGTCCCTGTTAGTATTCCGAAGAAGGAATATGTTAGAGATCCAACTACCAGGTGTGATGAGTTTGACACAGCTAAGCAGTCCGGTAACTTCAACCACTCAATGCCAATCTTCTTCTTCTTCTTCTTCTTCTTCTTCTATGGCTCTCCGGTCCGTATTCGGTTCATGGCCTCCTCAATTCTCCTCTTCCATTTGGTCCTCTGTTAGGTCCGTCTGTCCGAGGCTTTGATCGAGGTTTCGAAACATCTTCCTTTTTATGTTGCAAGGTTGTTAGCCTTGCGACCAACCCCCAACCTGGAGGACCAGGGTACCTGTCTTAGTCTGACCTCTCCCCCTCGACCAATCTGGCTAGGCCAATGCCTTATTGGAAATAAACAGAAGCTACCACCCAAAATAAACATAGAATAACTTCAAAGGAATTCAGTTAGGAGTAAGAACTGAGAAGAACTTATGTCTACTTCTTTTCAGATGTTTCAATCTATTTGGCGAGGTTAGCAGGAACCACAGATCAATAATTTTACAATTAGGTGATCCAAATATTACAGGTTCCGACTACAATAAATTTGTCAACTATAACCTTAAAGGTTTGAACCGCCACCATGTTTGTAATGGCTGACATGTAAAATATATCTAAAACAGAATTTGTAGGCAAGATCTTTATATCACATTTCACGTGGTTCATCAATTATCACCGTCAAACCCGAAGCTACACACTGACTTTGTGTGGTTGTAATGTTGTTTTTTTGACTAATACCTTTCAAAAGTTGCACAGTTTTTTTAACATACCACATAAAGAGGATTTGAAGTCCTCACGGCAGTGAGTACGAAGACAGAAGACGGCCATACCACATAAAATTTAACACCTCACACAAAAATACTTCGTGAAAGTTATATTCTCATCTCGGAAAACAGGTTATAAATGTGTGTTATTCTATTGTGTGTACCAACTACTGAGATTATGTATAATTACATGATATACTGTAAAAAGTATTAATAAAGAATTAAGAGAAGTGCAGAAGACATCACGACTCTTCTTTTAAGATGCCATATTGGTATTTGTCCGAGGAATGCATCTCACACTTTATTACAATGCATTTCTGCCAACAACTGATCTACTGACCTGGGTCTTCTGCGTTCGAAGAAACTTCATTTAAGGTTGATTTTAAAAAATCTCCTACATATTCATACAACTCATAATCCTGAAGTATGCGGGATTTCTAATAATTCAGTCTGAAAATAATCTTGGGACTTCAACATTTCCACCGTATTCACTGGCTTAGAATCTGGTGCACCTTCTAGATGAAAAACATTAAACAAAAAACAATCCATAAGCAAACAAATCACATACAGTTAAGAAGATTTCTGTCTTCTGGGTTGTTGCGCTGCGTAGTCTGGTCGATGTGACTTCATATTCACTGCTGTGAAAACCTCAAATCTTACGCATACAGTAAGTTGGAGAATTTTAATACTAGAGCAGTTGTGTATGCTCTGACTTTTCGAATATGCCTCCATTCCAAATGGCAGGATATCATTTGAATTACATATTTTTTTTAGTAGAGCAAAATTGTAGTAAATAATACTAATAAATCCCCGTACCTAATTCTGTATCACGTGGTAGTAGTGACTGAATGCAGTACTTCAAGGATTTTATTACAATAACTGATATAAGAGTGTGTAAATTGCAATTAAGACCTTTTTTACCTTCGATGCTCGGAATTAACAATTAAGACCTTTTTTACCTTCGATGCACAGAATTACATTGTTTGATTATGACAATACGATACTGCACATCAGTGTTTCCCCATTTCTAATTATTTTAACAATCTATAAATCATCTGGTTTTCATGGATTGGTTAGCTGGCCAGCACTGAAATCAAAATCATCGTCTTGTTCCAATGTAATTGATAAACTAATCTAAGTATACACTTAAATTCTGTTCCTAATTACCCACAACCTTACAAAAACATGACTTAAAATTAATTCGGCCTCGATAACTGTGTGCGGAGCTTTCGAAATTCCAGAAACGCATTTCTTCCATCAATGTCGAACATAAGCGACATTTCCAGATGGCAGTTTGAGGTACCGTTACGATTATCGACACAGATAAAAATAAATGGCGCATGATAATGAAACAGCATGTGTCTAAGAGATCAAACGGTGAATAAAAATGCTTCTCATTTCGTAATCAATCCTGTGTCACAAGCCGGTTGGCAACAACAAGATTAATGACGTCTGCTATGCAGTAACTTCAGAAATGTATGCAGGAATTATAACAAATTTTGTCATTCACAGAACTTCAATGAACTATACAAAGAAGTTCTTTAATCTATTCTTGCTTATTCAAAGTGATAAATTGAGAATAGTAATAATAACAATCGATCCTTAGTATCCCTGCCACAGGCCTCTGACCGATCGTAATTCTAGTCCAAAGCAGCTAAAGCCTAATATTAAATGCATTAAAATATTGCACACCTACACTACTGAAGGTACCGATGTAAAAAAACAACACATACTAGAATTGTTTTATTAAACACTGTTCTGCAATATCTGCTTTTGCATGTACTCACTTATTTTTAGTGTGTTACAATTTATTAAACACTGTTCTGCAATATCTGATTTTGCCTGTACTCATTTATTTTTAGTGTGTTACAGATCTCAACAATGTCCACGCAAATTGAATGCGTAACGCATCCATTATTTAAGATACTGACATGCATAATATAACAACGCCCTATTTAATATTTCATAGTTCTGCTCAAAATGCATATTATTACCATGTAATGAATAAATTAAAACTGAATAATCAATTTCCCTGTCGTAATGAAATCAATTCTGCATAACAGTACCAGCGCTATACGAAATACGAATGAAAAATCAAACTTTTTCCACATCGAAGCAACGGAACCGGAAGTGTTATACGTGTCGCTATAAAGAAACTAAACTCACAAAATGCCACTCTCAACACTTGGATACGAAATCTGGTAACACTGTTAATTCCTAATGCCTTCTATATACGAAATTGAACTAAAATTCTACTTTCGTTAGAAGCGACACACAACAAACTACAACTCTGGGGCATTAAACAGATGACAGGAATATACGTTTACTCTGGAATGCACATTTTTCAGTGACGTCATAATACATTTTAATAATGCGTTATAAAAATATATTCTCTATTTGATTTCACTGGCCTTCTTCATTGGCACGTTCTTTCTAAGTTCAAACATACCAAGTATGTGTTCAAACAATGGTGCAAATCTTTAAAGTAAAACTCATTGAAAATGGAACCAGGGGAAACGAATATTTTAAATCTAATGTTGTGTTCTGACACTGCTGCATCAGAGGCAAAATAACAAGGGGAATGTGAAGGGCATGGAAACAATGGGGAAGGACATTATTGCGGCAAGTCTTGAAAATTGTAAATGATACGAATAATAAGCCACCTGATTCCCTCAGAACAGCAAGACACTTACTTCATTTCATTTACCATTCACCAATGTTTCGTTCAGTTGTGGATATTTATCCGGACAAGCATTATGAATAATTTATTGAGCATTCTTCACGTAAAATATCTGTGTGTATATATTAGATAGATGTATTATAATTTACAAGGGGATACGCTCGAAACAGAAACATGGAATATGGATAAATTTCGTAGAGGTTATTAAATGATCTGAGAATTATAAATTACCGTAAACAATTAAAGCTTACTTACCAATCGACCCGCTAATTCTTCCATAATTTAAACTTTAACATACATTGTTGACAGTTGCTTGTTTTACGTGCTTGCCAATATTAAGTGTTGTGGTGTTTAGAGGCGCAGTGCATATATACAGGGAATATTTACCTCATCTACAAATTAGTAACTAATTAAACTTATTTCCAAACTCTCAAGCCCCCAAAAATAAATCCTTAACCATTCAAACGTAAATAAAATGTTCATATTTTTACGAAACATCGGACGAACATGGAACGTAGGTTATATAGAAGAACGTGTTGTTCGTGCCCCCTTCCTCTCTGAAGGTTTTAGTTGATATCCAAAATGAAATGAGAGCTTGCGCATGGTAACAGTTTGTGCCCCCTAAATTCTAATTTCTTTGGGCTACAAAGTTACATTTACTTGTGGACGGAGACAAAACCAATCCGGCGGTGTACGATACAATTTGTAATTGCACAGGTGGTCGACGATCAAATCCGTTTCCATCCGCCGAGACAGATCACAAGACCACACATGTGTTCGGCGTCTTATTATCCCCCCCTCCGATGAAGGCACCGACCTGCCATCCCACGTGACAACATCGACATTAACACTGCCTTATTACCACATATAAAACACAACACAGCCACAGAAATGTTCCAGAAGCCACTAATTATTGGCAAAATGAAGGTGTTTTCTGTGATTGTGTTGGGCGTTTTCGCGTTAGGTGTGGTCACTTTCAAAAGTGTAGCTTCACTCCCAAAACTTAAGCCCACTGCAGCGGCTGCTTACGACTGGCATCAATTTCTTCCAGAAGGTAAGCCGCTCGACTTTAGTTTACTGTCAACAGTCTCTGTACGTGTAGCAAAATAATTTCTAGCTTCCAGAAGGTAAGCCGCTCGACTTTACTTTACTGTCAACAGTCTCTGTACATGTAGCAAAATAATTTCTAGCAACAAGAACCACGTTTTTAAAATACCACAATTAAAAATTTTAATAGCAGTGAAAATCTTTTATACTTTTAACGTGTCATGGTTGTGTTCTGGGCTCAGAAACCTATTATACCAACAGTTTTTTTCGTGGTTTTCCTCTGTCTTCCTGACATACCATAAAAATATATTAAAATTGTCCAAGACCACTGCCGTCGACATTATTTCCAATTAATATTCACAATTAATAGTTTATAACAAGGAAAAGTTTTGGAATTAATAAAAAAAGTAATGTATTAACATTAATACGGTCATAATTCTTCAAACACTTCAATTCCAACTAGATTTAGCGATAAATATTTCTAGAAGACGATGTGAGGTGAGAGAAGGTTGGTAAATTCCCTGCAACTTCAGTTCGCGTCACTGCTCCATACATTTCTCACTGAACAAGATTAAAACTAAAACAAGTTCTTTCTTAAAAATGTTAAGTTAGACGCTAAATGTAACAGTGGACGGTTAGCACCGCTACTTCCTGTCTCGGAGGACCAGTGTCAAATTCTCAGCCCAGAGGCCAGTTGCCCAGATTGATTTTCACTGTTTTACTCAGTCCCAATCAATGCCAGGAAAGTACCTTAAAGTAGGCCACCACTGCTTCCTTCACATCCTTTGTACTTCATTATTCGTTAAGAATCTTATGATACAGTCTAAGCCATTGACAGCGTCAGTAAATAAACCATAAAAAAGCAAAATATATCTTTATAATTTTCTTCTAGAATTAAACGCAAAGCAAATGAAGTATTTGTTCACCTCGTGTCACCAGACAGCAAGACAAAATCATAATACGAAGATATCAAATAAATCCTGCACAATGTGGAAAAGTTAAAATATCTGAGAATGATGGAAATAAATCAAAATTGCATTCATCAAGAAATTAAGGGCACATTTAATATGGGGAATGCTTACTTCCACGCCATTTAGAATCTTCCGTCCTAAACCTCGAAGATTAAAACATGCAAAACTACAATTTTACCTTCGCTTCCACGAGGACTCCAAATATCTTAATTTTACCCACTGTTTTGTATGGGTCTCATGTCAGGGGGAAGACCACAGATTGAGAATGTATGAGAGAATATCCGG